GCGAGCAACTTAGGGTTAGTATCTTGCTGAAGGCATGCAGACTGGGGCAGCCAGGGACTGAACCACCAACGTTCTGATCATCTACATCCTGAGCTACAGCCAGCCAAAGATGCACCCCACTAGAACCTAAAGTTAGGGACAGTCAACAGCTGTACCAGTTGTAGGAGGCTCCTTGCACTTGTTGAATGGACAGGTAAGTACTGAATGTCCACATCGTCAGACTTTATGTGCAGAGGTTTTATTACAGTGATATAGCACAGGCAAAGTAGCTTAATGAAACAATACAGATCTTCTAATTAAACCACACAAAACTTTAATTCTTGAATCGATTCTATGGCGATGCTAAAGATCTACCACCAGTTTTGGTATATAACCACACTCTTCAGGTAATATTTGCTCTTTATTATATTTATTAAACCGTGGTATTATTTTCTCTCTGATGAGGATCTTTAGATCTACAATATAAAGCAGCTGTTGGGGTGAATTTACACTATATCATGAAAACACAACTGAACTGATAGTGAGGTTTAGTCTGGTGCTACGTCTGTCAGGTTGGTGCTCTGTGGGTAAAATGACGACACTGGAGAGTTGCTGTAACGTACCTTCAGCAGAGCCTCGGGGAAGTTTCTGTTGAAAAATCGAACCACCTCTTTGACGCTGGAGCTGCTCTTTGTCCTCACTGTGATCATGTAGCCATCTCCGAACCTATAACATGTTAAGAGAAGCATGACTGTGCCAAGTCAGGACATAAATGTACGATTATAAAGTTCTCCAACTCTGCCCATTTAAAAAAAGCACCCCAACATATGTTATATGAGTACTGAGCGAGCCAGAACTGTAAACTTTTTTCTAATTAGGATTTTTTTAATATACCTTTGTCTTTTTTGACCTCATGAACGTGGGCAGCACTGTGCCACTGTGCCTGTTGCCTCACAGCAAGAACTGTTCTCCCAGTGTTTGCTGGGTACTGGGTACTCTGGCTTCCTCCCACAGTCCAAACACATGCAGTTAGTGGGGAACAGCTTAATGGGGAATCCCAAATTGCTCATGGGTGTGAATGGTTGTCTGTCAGACAGACTGGCGACCTGTCTGGGGTGCACCCTGGCTCTCACCCTTTGACAGCTGGCACATCTGTAGTCAACTATGAGACCTGAGTCTGTGAATGTTCTCAGTCATCCAGGTCATCGTAGTCAAAGGAGCGACCATCTTTGAACAGAGGCGGGGTTTACGACACCAACTCTCTGCCATCTATAATCCAGTTTTGAGATCCTTCCCCAGATGCCTTAACGCCCACTCACATCCTGGGCCATCTGACCTCAGGAATTCGCATGATAAGGTGGGGCCAGGTTTCACAATGAGCTCACCCGAAACTCTGGCTGATTGGGACCCACACCCAGTTTCCCACCTTGGCTCAGGCGATTAGAGGATCATCAGGGGTCCTTTTGTCCCTCTGTGGGGGGAAACTCCCACTGGGTTTAAATCTGGGACTCTCCACCATTTGACCTTAGAACTGAAGAAGCTTCTCGGATGAGAGGTGAAACGTCTTCAAGCTACTTAAAGAAGTCCAGACGCTTTTCTTTGCAAGCTCCTTTGACTACGAGACCTGAGGTTAAGGGTGGTCTTTTGCAGTTGCCTGTGGGATCCCCTGGAAAATACCCAATTAAGCTTCAGTTTCTATGGGAGTATGGATGATGAAGCAGAGCTGCTTCTAAGTGTGGACAAATGTAAAGATTTTCTGTCCTTGCATCCTCTGATAGCTAAAGAAATGATGGCAGCTGTGTGCAATGTCCTGGACAGAACAGACTGCAGGATCTGGTGCAGCTGCCACATAAACCTCGTCTGATTTTAAGGACTGCCTGTTTTTCCATGGACTGTGAGGATGAACTAGTGGAGACAGGGCATGGGTGCAGGATGAGGAGGAAAGCTTATATGTACTGTTCATTATACCAAAGGTAGAAACCTGATATTGATGACCTCACAGTACTCAAGCTGATTTTAAAATAAGTCAGAGCTGTGGATGAGCATGGTCAGGTTGTAAAAACAGCTGGAAAAAGATGAGATCACAGGAGAACAGTGTCTCACCTCAGATTTACTCCACCTCATCCCAAACCACAAACATCAGGTGAAAATACTCCTCCCTCACATCCAGCGTTACATCTCCTTCTACTGTCCAAGATCAGCTGTTCCACAGCCCAGGAGAAATTACTGCCCTCTTGTGGCAGTTGAAAGTCTCCATAACTGTGAAACATTAGACTGGAAATGCTGTTGTGGGTACTGGTTCGACATATACTCCCCAGCTGACAAACTCACCTCATGTACTTGTCTAACAGACCACCGAGCTAGCTGCTGGGCTGGATGGAGACAGAAATGACTCTTTAGAGTAAAAGCTGGCATGTGCCTGTGGTGGTGCTTGTTTCAAAGACAACGGCATTTTCTGCTCTACTGAGTTTAGATTTCATATTATTCACTGGTATGCAGCTGGATGTTTCAGAAGGAAAGTATTGGTTTGATGATGATGATAAGATAAGACACTTCAGGAGTGGGGGGTGTGGTGGGGTGGGTGACCAGAGTACTGCTTTCTTTCAGCAGACACTCCTCGTGTCTCCACATCAGAATGTGCCACCATCATCTGTGCTCTACAGGGCCCCTCACAGAAGCTTACAATAGAGGTGGAAGGCAGAGCAGAAAACCAGAAAGTCACACCCTGAATCAGAAAATCACTGATACAGGAGATATAACATCAATCCCACCATGTCATCAAAACAGGGCCTTATCTATCGTGTTCTCAAGCTTCCCTACAAGACCATGTGCCAGCCACAATCCTTCCCCTGGACATCTGGGAAGACACCAAACCTACTGACGATTGCAGAAATGGTCTGCTGGCTAAAACCGAGCTGGGATGTTCAGGAGAATGTGCAAAACTGTAATGTGTTCTATTGTACAAACTTCAAAACCAGCAACCAGCAGGCAAACACCAACAAACGATGGTCCAAAGGCTGCTAGGGATGTATGTGATGGGTCCATCCCCCAAGAAGATCAACCAAAGTGTCTTTGTTGACACCACTCCAGGTAAGTAGGATGATTCTCTTTAAGAAAGTAACATCAGAAGCTCTGACACAGTGGCCCCTATCTGATCCATGATTTGTCCTCCTGGAAGTCATGAAACCCAGTTTGTCTCCTCACTCTTGCAGACAGAGTCCCAAACATGGACAAATGAACACATCCTCGGAGCAGTGCTGTGGAAAGAGTAAACTGCACCTTAAAAAAGAGACTCTTACACTGAAACCAGACATAAACAGTGGGACAAATCCATGACTCCCAGTTTGCCCTAAATCCAGCTCTTCAGGTGTCCTCTGGTTTCTCCTGCAGAGCTGAATCTTTAACGACGACGACTCCTGGATGTGTTGCTGCACCCTCGAGATGTCACACATCAAACCTCTGGATGTGCCAAATCTCAGAGCTGCAGGTCCTGAGTAACCGTGTCTTCAGAAACCTGGACTATATAACTATGAGTAACTATGATTAAAGAAGGTCCTGACCTGTTCTTTAGGTGCTGGATGCTCCCCAGGCATTTAAACCTGCCATTCACCATAATGCCCAGTCTGGTACACAAGGCCTCACACTCCTCCATGCTGCAGATGTAGTGAAAACACTTTGGTGAAACATTTGTAACACAGATGGTATAACAGGAGGTTTTCCAGAGGAACATGCATGTCATTACTAAGCTTTATAACCTGTGTGACGTCAGCACTACAGAGCGTCCGGTCTTGATTATGTCCAGGATTAAATTCCAGAGGAACCTGCGGGCCTTCGGGTCCATCCCAGTGGTGGGCTCATCCTAAACACAAGCAAACACAACAATGTTTAAAACAGCGACAGACTCTGGATGGACTCTGAACCTTACTGCCTGGGACGTTGATAGGCTGGCATGTGTGATGTAGAAATGTTGGACAACTTTGGACTTTTTTACTATTTGACCAACTGGATGTTGGGTTGATGCTGTCTCCACAGGCTGTTCAGGGACACTCACTGCAGTCTTTAAGTAAAACTGGTTGCATATTTTCTGTATCCATGTTACACTTAATCATTAAAAATGATCACATATTACGATGTTTATATCAAAAGATTACTGTGTTGCACACAGACATTAAAATATAATCCAAGGTACGAGTAGAACTCGCAGAGTAACTAACTTATATAATACTATCACTACTTTTGTAATACTTTGTATACATGTATGCAATACTATCAAGTTTTAATAAAAATATTTATGAATGATCACTCAGATTACTGATTAGCCCCATAGTCACACATTCACATCGTCCTTCATTTTATGCTTTTAAGCACTTCTATCGGCTCCATTTTAATGTTAAACATGCTTCCAAAAATGAACTAAAGCTTCAAACAGAATGTGAAGAAACCGGCGGATTGACCCTCTGATCTTTGCTACGCTGCCCCGAGCACAGAGAGCATCTATTCTTCTTACCAGGAAGATGAGTGATGGGTACCCGATGAGAGCAATGGCAGTGGAGAGCTTGCGTTTGTTTCCTCCACTGTAAGTGCCCGCTGGTTTGTCTGCATACTTGGACAGCTCCAGCTTTTCCAATGCCCACTGCACCACCTGCAGGGGGCAAAGAGTAATGTGAGCCGTTGAAATTCTGCTGTTCAGGCGATGAAGGAGACAACGGTAGGATATCCCCCCTTAATGTGGAACTGCATAACATTTGCTGAATTGTTCCAATATTTGATCCTCAGTTTGTATTCTCTGTCCTACATGTTGGGTCTGACTCTGACTGTAAGTATGGGTCTTTTACTAAATAACTGTGCAATCAGCAAAAGTTCTTGTAGGTTAACATGTCTGCATGTTTTGCTGGCTGTGTTAAGTGGATAATTACAAGACACCACAAAGTTACAAGCTACACAGAGTCCTGTGGAGTCTGATAAAAAAAATAACACACTTAAAATAACTAACTGTTGTATAAAACAGCAGTTATAAAGGTTATTGGGAAATAAAGGTCAGAGGAAGAAGATTACTGCATAAGACTAAACTTCAGCTCTTTTTCTTTGTAATTACTTCACAAAAAACGGTGATAAAACACGCTTCACAGAGTGAGCAAGTTTATCATGCACAGGATATTCTCTTCATTATCTTACTGCACAAAGTCCAACAACTGCCGTCACAATGTGAAGTCGTTTTTAGCTCAATGAGTCAACTCAGGTTTCACCTGCTTGAAAAATGAACCGAACACTCAGTCATCACAAAAAGTTGCAATTAAGTTTTATCAGTTTAGATGGACCTCACCTGCTGCAGACACACGACTACAGGAGGGGTCGGGGCTTTGTGAATTTGGTGGCTGTCAGGAGCTGAGGCTCTGACGGTAGGCTGGCCAGTTAGCAAACATGACCGTTTAACATCACCTCTTTGGCAGGACAAGAGCCTGAGGTCGAGGGTCTCTGAATGATTCAGTAGAGAATTGGGGTTCAACCTAGTGGAGGAAAGAGATATTTCCCCTTCATGTCAGGGATTGCATCCTGACTGGTGTCTGTGATTATAGTTCAGCTTACTGAGCCTTCATGTTCTTGGTTTTTGTTTTCTCCATGGGCAGGAAACAAAAACAACATGTAATAGTGGCTCTAGCAGATTTACATTTAGCCAGACTGATGGTCAAACCAGTTCAGGTGTCTTCATTTGCTCTACATGCTCCTCCCAGGTTTCACTGTAAACACCTACGTCGTCTAAATAAACTGCTGCATTTCAAAGACCAAATGGCATGACAGCACATAAATACAGACCTGAAGGACAGAACAAATGTATTTGGCTCTCTGAGACGGAGGAACCTGTCGACGCCCTTTCTAAAGGTCAAACTTGCTCACAAAGTTTGTCGTGGCTACCTGGTCAATACAATCTTTCATTCTGGGAAGAGGATATGCACCTGGCTGTATGACGCCATTAATTTAGCAAAAGTCAGTGCAAGACCTAAATTTGAAATCTGACTTCTACATCAGCAAACACAGAGATGAACAAGCAGAGGAAGAAGGCAACACCATTTTACCATTTACCTCAGATTCTAATATCTGTCGCTTATCAGGAGATGACCGGTAAAAATGCTGTTTAATAGGCTGAGCATCATCAATATCATGGTCCACTAAATGACCACAAGATGGTGTACCTGAGAACAGAGACAGATAAGACTCTAATGTTCCCAAAAAGTTTATTCTGTTCATCTGGATGCAGCGTTTCCAGTGCATGTAACTGTCTGATGTCAATCAGTTGTTCGGGTTTATCTTCATCCAAATGTACAAGTTGCCCAGAGCTTCCCACCAATTTTTTTAAGATGATGTTGCAGCATCCCATCTTCCAATACTCCTCCTTCCTCTCAAGCACCACTGAAGATGAGGTAGAGGCCGCAGTCTTGTGAAAGAGGCGTCTTGGTGCTGGAGGTAAGGCTTTACCAAACATCCCTGTATCACCGCACATTAACATTTAAACAGCACAAAGAGATGCTGAGACGCTGTAGAAACAAAGTCTGCTCACCATCCGACCAACCACGTGAATCTACAAGCTTCTCAAACATACAAACTAATATATCTGGGTCCAAATCCAGAACTCCAGTACCACACTGAGTGTGTTAGCGTGCAACCTACGAGCAACACGCTGGTAAGGGGCCACAACCAACCTATATTAAATTTTAGGAGGTGCTGAGCAAACTTCTCCCCGAGTTACACACTGGGCTCTTTGTGCAGGCTGGAGAGGAACCCTCACTGACCACCAGATTACTGAACCAAATCAAGGTCCCACCCAGCATGTAAACTCAACCCACGAGCAACACGCCAGTAAGGACCACAGGTTACAGAAGACTCTAAGGCTGCAAACGCGTGACTCCATGAGCAACCCACCGGGCTCTCTTTATAAGCTGGAGAGTAACTCTGACTCACCTGACCCACCAACCTCTACACCACAGTCAGCTCCCACACAGCACGCGAGCAATACACTGGTACGCTATCACAGCCAGAGTCAACACAGGAAACAAACAGCGATCTTGGAAGGACTAAATGCTGTCCCACATTTGTAATGACAGAGACTGAACACACGGAGCAGTTGACCGCTAGGTGGAGATCAGCCAACCAGTGATTTCACACCTGTTTTATGGATAAGCTGAAAGATGTAGCTGGGCAACCCTTAAACAAGTATCGGAGGGTCATACACTGTACATGTAATATGTAACATATATGTAACATATGTGAAAGAGAACTGGATTAGTACAAACCTTAATTTCAACCTTAAGTTGTACAATGATACACAACCAGATAGCAGGTATGTAACTAGCTCTGATTTCTGTCTCTGCTCAAGTACAATCAAACGAAGCGATAAGTTCTGTAACATCAAAAGAACCTGTTTATTAATCTCAATGGAAACAGGAAGCATAATATCAGCTGTTGTTGCTGTTGCACGCCTCACTTATCTTGCTCAAAGTAACATTAGAACCCTTCAGGCTTAATATATTGGATTTCTAAAGTGGGGCCGCCACATCTCCCCGCGACTAGTTGTGACCAGTGTTGGTCAAGTTACTTGAAAAAAGTAATCAGTAACTAATTACTGATTACTTCCCC